ATCTAGTGGATGAAGAGGGAAGCAGCAGGCAACAGAAAATCACCACAAAGAACCAAAACCCCGGTTCCCAACACAACTGAAGGTATCATGATAGCGTCCACTGCTTGATTGGGCAATAAAATGACATTAAGTGCCTGAAAAATACAAAACAAGGCCCCTTTAACAGGAAGTAGGAGTAATCCGCCAACAAATATTCATTTAAACACAGAACTTAGATTAAAGGGATCCAGGAAGGAGGCCAGATGTCTTCTTTCCAATACTTCTTCCCAGGTAAAGTTTTCATCAGTCAGTACAGAAAGGAGGTTCTTTAAAACAGGGAGAAAAAGGTAAATCATTTCAAACACATTTCAATGTGATTTTCAGAAATAAATTTACATCAGTTTGCAAATTGCCTGAATGAAAAAGTTGAAAATGATCAGCCAATGAGAAAACAATAGGTTTGGAGAAGAAACTTTAAAACTTGGCAACATTTGGAGCAGATTCAAGATTCACACAAACATCCATTTAAGACATAACATATTATTAGTAACCACACACTGCTCAGTGAAATTATGTGGCTGTGAGCCATCCTGTGTTAGGGAATTAGAATAATTCAATAATTACTTAAATTAAATTCAGACCAAATGTGGTTCGTCAGGGAGAGCCACATGAACAGACTGTTCATGTTACACATGTTAAAGCTTAAACACGTGAAATGAAGCCATTTAAGAAAACAAGATGTTCTTAGAGCTTGTTCTTGGTGCCGTCGTTCTGTAGAGAGTTCCCAATGTAGATCTTTGTGCCTGATATATCAGAATTATGATGATCTACATTGTAGATAGAGATACATGAAATGTTGTAAACATATCGCAGGTCAATTCTCCACCAGGGGATTTTCTGCTCCAGAGTGTGAGAACATGTTGAGGGATCCCCATCAAAGGCTCTGTCAGCAGTGTATGGTATGCCATTATCCTCATTAAGACTGAGATGCTTCCTTTTCAGGCAGATTTATGTTCTGTGTGCTGCAGAGATCTGGGGATGAAAAGAAAAGATGTCATCTGCACTTTTACAATGTTATATGTTTTGTAGACGATCAAGTTCAATAGTTCAACACTTTCAAATTTAGCTTCACCTTTTGTCTGCTGAGTTTCAAATGACCGTCCTGTGAAATGCCACAGAAATGTGTTGAATGATCCACTTTTATCTAGTTTTATTAAGTTAATTTAATAATTATCTCTAATTGTTTTCTATAGTTTTACTGTTCATCATATCACTGAGTTTTAATCTTGTTTTTATTTTTATTTTATTTTTTTTGTGGTCTGTTGACTCTGGACTTGGTCACAGTAAAAATTGGCACCGTAAAAATTTTGTTTCCAGCAACATAATAGTTTGAGTCATCAGTTAAATTGATATTTATGTAAATAAAATGAACCACTTACCCAGCAGTAAGATGAATAACAGACTCCACAGAATCTAGAGAAATATTTTTGACATTACTTTTGTGAAATCACATAAATAAATTATCACAAATAATTAAATTCAAGTTAGAAAATACTTTTTTTCACAGATTCATCAGAAAAACAAAAACATTTCTCTTTAGCTCATATTCCTCACCTTGGCAGGAAGTTGCTCAAACTCAGCTGATGTACGTCTGATCCTCTCTTTCAGCCACAGCTCAACATTTATTTAATAACGTTTATAGATAAAAAGTCTTGGTAGATAAAATAAACTACTAATACGCACTGATCTATATTTAACTCTCTTCCTCCAGAAGTCCCGTTCACTCCTCACTTCTGCATCTGATTTGAAACAAGAAGTAAATGTGAACACAGTTGTGCTCTTGATGAAAAATTTGCAGACATGTAAATATGTCAGCTGTGGTTCAGCGCCAGAGTCTGTGTAAACAGTGAGCTCTTCATCAGCTGCTCTGCTCTTCCCATTTCTCAGTAACTTTAGAGTTTGCAGAGAAACTTTGACAAACAGGCCTTTGATAGACTGACAGTGACTTTTTATAAACAGTATTAACAAAGTGAATGGAATTAAATGTCCCATCATATTTTGATGTTTTATAAACAATGCTACAGCAGGACTTGGACTCTGTCAGCTTGTGGTGTTTTATCATAAAAAGCAGAGAAAAACAATGAACGTGGGAAATTGGAAAAAAAAATTAAATCAGAAATCCATTTGGAAAGTCAGAGTTTCTTTTCAAACCCCTGATCACCAAATCCAATATGGCTGCCTTGCCTACAACATCCACAGCTAAGAAAAAATATGCCAAAAACATTTCTTTACATTTCTGATTTTACTTTTTCAAAATATTTACATACAATATTACAGAATTACCTTTATTTAAGGTGTTTCTGTAATGAACTTTTTAAAGATTATGATTAAACAAATGAGAGGCTCAGGGTTTCTAGCTGCACACTGAGCATCCTGCAGGTGCTTATAGTGCATTAAGAGCCATTTCTTCAGGATATATGTGTGACAGTGTGTGTGTGTGTGTGTGTGTGTGTGTGTGTGTGTGTGTGTGTGTGTGTGTGTGTGTGTTTCCTCACTATGGATCAACTCCTTCATCTCCCCTGACCTGGGTGTAACTGACCTTCCCTGTGTTCCTTCTTCAGGTGTTACGTCTATTATAATCATGATCAGCTATTCTAGGAGGAAAAGTTGGAGGAAGTTTGATAAACTGCATTTTCATAACTAACTCTATGCACAAGGCTTTGCCTGTTCTAGTATCACCTCAATATCTGCTCATGTGGCTATTAAATGGGTGAACACCAGAATGTTTTTGGGTTCAAGTTGTTGGATATTTGTGGCTCTGCTCGCAAATATCCATTATATAGGTTATATAGGTTTTAATAAAATGGCTACTAAAACAAACAACAACAAAAAAAACGTTGTGTTGTACCAACTATTTTAAAAATACTGAATTTTTTTTTGCGCAGTCTCACTGTGAAAAGTTTTTAAAAAATATTTCACTCCATGTGCTGGTAGCCAAATATCCACCATTCCTGAACTGTGATAAACAACCACAAAAAAAAAAAAAAAAAATCACCTGAAATGATTAATTTGATTATTGTCTTTTTATTTTGTTACATAAAGGAACAACCAGTAGAGGTCTGATTTTACTGGTGGCAAGTTCACTTTCTGTCAACAGCACGTTGTTGAGGTTAGGTGTTGGGTTTGGCATGTACTGGAAATGATTAGGCTACAAAATGAATGAAAAATGAATGAAAGTCAATGCAAAGTCCTTGTGAAGATAGAAAGACACAATACACAACAACAGAGAAAAAGAAACACTCTAAATGTTTCTAAAAGTGTTTCTATGAGCAAACCAACACTTGCTTTCACCTTTTGATTCACTGAAAGTAAAGTTACCAGAACTCAGATGTTACAGCTCTTAGTTTACAGCACAGATAAAATTAAACTTATTATTATCAGACTTGCTGAACCACAAATGGTCTCCTTCTTTCTCCATGGCTCCACTTGTGTCACAGTTTTCTCCTGCTTCGCCATATCTCCAGCGTTTAAACTCTACTTCACTGTCATCAACCCAGAACCAGTATTGGAGGGAGGAGGCGTAGTGAAGTCCGATCCACACGAAGGGACTGTTGGCTTTCTCAGCCTCCAGCTCAGCAAAGGTCTGCATCTGTTCATCCAAGATGGAGGCCAGATCTCCGTGGTTATCTCTGCAGTAGTTCAGAGCTTCTTCCCAGGTCTTGTTTTGGTCAATCAGTAGAAAAGGTGAAGCTTAAAAAAGAAAATTAATTAAAGTCAAGCATAGCCAGTGAATTATGATAAAATGACAACATTGAATCCTAACATTCCACAACACGGGTGATACAAATTAGTTGCTGTTATGCAGCAATATGTAAATGTTACAGTAACCCAATATATTTGCATTAGTCAACAGTTTGACCGTTCCTCTGAAAGGTGAAATTATTACATGTTATGTAGTTTATTGATGGTGAGAGTTGATGAACATGGATCACATACCCATTTTTGTTCCAGTGATTTTCACGTCACAGAGAACCATAAATGTATTTTCTGGTCTGATCACAGTGACGTATCGCCCCGACACTGATGAAGGAAACTCATAGACATTGATCTGGTTTGCTAGGAAAGCTGTGATGTTTTGAACCCTGGATAAGAGAGAGAAAATTAAACATACCACTGACATGACACTGACATCACATTTATTCTAGTGTATGTATACAAGTTGCCATGAAGATAAATATTTCCACTTTGGTACATAAACATGTGAGCAAAACTAAGATGCAACAATTTGCTTTTATCCACATTCAGGACCTGCACAAAAATTATAATATCGACTGTGTTTAGTGGAAAAACTAACCACAATCAGTACTATGAGGTGATCAGTCTTGGAAATAGAGTACTGTGACATATGAGGAAAATAATGCAAAAAATGAGCAAACATGTATTTTTAAGTTCAGTAAACAAATGTTTGCATTACATGATAAAGACGCAACAGCCTAAAATGTGAAATAAATCACATTTTAAGGTAACAATGAGACTTACAGCTTGTTGTTGGTGCCGTTGTTCTGACGAGAGTTCCCGATGTAGATCTTGGCACCTGATATGTCAGTCACCTTATTTTCCTGATGAACGTTGTAGATAGAGATACAGGAAATGTTGTAAACACCCTGCAGGTCTACAGACCACCAGGGGTCAATCTGCTGGTTGGTGTGAGAACAAGTTGATTGATTCCCATCCAAGGCTCTGTCAGCAGTATAATGTATTTCATCAATGCCTGTATAGGTTGTAGACTGGTTTGCTCTCTTGTCCGTCAGCTGTATGTTTGGTGTGTTGCAGTTTTCTGTGGGTGAAACTTTCAAATCACAGAGCATTTAGCTTCAGAATGTTGATCTTATTTATCTTCACATAATAGTTGCTCTCAAAAATTCATTATTGTGGATAACTATTGAATTCATTTAATGAATAGTTAAACATTAAATGAATCAAAACAAAAATACACATCTTATGTCCCGACTTATACACATCCTTCCATCAAAGAAAAATGAAAAAAAAAAAATTACAGCTTTATAGTGAAACTTTCAGAGCAACTTTCAGTTATCCTACATATCCATAATATTGAGCTCAAGCCCTGAAATTAAAGCAATTTTATGAAATATGACTTCATTTTACTGTGAAGCAAAGTAGGAGGTAAAACTGAACTCTTACAACAGTTTCATTATTATTAACATCAAACTATAAAGTAAATGAGCAGCTTACCACTCAGACAGATGAAGAACAGAATCCACAGCATCTTTGAGAACAAACACACTAAAATGAGTTTCTTAACTAAAGTTGACTAAACTGTGTTCAGACCAGAGGATGTTCCCTGATGCCTCCTCCTCTACAAATAAGTAAAATAAGAGTCAGTTTGGGTTGATGTAGCTTCTCTCCTCTTTCAGGGGGTTTCCCTCTGTAGATAAGATCCAGTTTCATGTTTACACCTGAATTTGAATATGTTTATTTTCCTTCATAATGGAGGTTTTGAAAATATATTGCAGTATAGTATATCCTAGTTCCAAGTTACTGATGTTTCTCTTTTTATCTTATTTGCATTGCTGGGAGAAGATCCTTCACAATTCTGCAACAGAAGAAGATTGTGTGAGAGGAGGTAAAACATGACGTCACCTCTGAAATGTAACATGGAAAATAATCACTAAATAAACTATTTCTACTTTCATCAGTCATTCTGATCTGCAAGGTGAGTGCAAGATGAATTAAAATAAGAAAAAGGGAATAAAATAAATAGATGCACACATTTGCATGTACATATCCTGACCTTTATTTGACAGGAAGCAGAGAGGAAATGGGCAGAGAGAGAGAGAGAGAGAGAGAGAGAGAGAGAAAGAGAGAGAGAGAGAGAGGGGAAGGACGGGGTCATGCAGAGAAGATCTGAAGGCTGGGAATCAGAATAAAAACACAAATGGATAAATTAATGCCCAAAAACTGGGCTGAAATTGATATTCGATCTACATTTCATTTCTGACATGCCAATACCTCAGTGGTAACAAAAATAAATAAATAGGGTAAATAAAATTATTTAAAACTGTTATGAACACCAACTAACAGTGCAATGTTTCCATAGCTGCAATTTTTTTCCATGAAAAATATTATTGTTATTCACATTTATTAAATGAAATAGATTTCTGCAGAAAGAGGATCAAATATAGATCAGGGTGCATCAGTAGTTTATTTATTCTGCGGAAGCTTTTTATCTATGAAGAGTATTAAGTAAATGTTGAGCTGTGGCTGACAGAGAGGATCAGAGAGTGAGCAGCAACCTGCTAAGGTGAGTGGAGGAGCAGAAGAGAAAGTTGTTGTCGTGATGAATTTGTGAAAAAGAGAGGAGAGAGTGTCATGGTTTTAGGAATGTTCCGATCCCACATGCAGCAAAACACTCAGGAAGACTGAAGATTAAGGGTTTTATTTACAAGAGTAATAA